GTTTTGCATTTTCTTGTCTTAACTCCTTTTGTTCAGATTGTATATTATCATTGAGATTGTAAAACTTATTATGCAATGCAATCATCTCTGCTTTGATAGATTTCAAAATCATGTGAACTGATTCATCGCTTTCGTCATCGGGACTACTATTGGCTGACTGAGTGAAGGGAAGTTTACTTTGACGAGTTTCTCTCGGGCCAGGATTAAGTTCCACATCGGAACATAATTGCAACAGTTTAGGTACATACGGAGAGTCACTATTACTCAGGCAATGAGGACCATCTCAACCAAAATAAAACACCAGTCGTCGCCAGGTTGAAGCGTTAAAGCGGGTTGTCAAGTCGGTGTACGGGGACTCCTTCCCAAACTGCGCGGTATAACGAGCGATGTGAAATCCATTCAGATAGAGCAAGATATTTACCAGAATGAATATTTGGAGCTGTCTGTTTATTAAACTTCCATATGGTGTCACATACTTCATTTTGTCCCTATTTTTCATTCGTTTCTGAATGAAACAGCCAATTTTGATCCTCAACTGTTCAACACAAACACCCATCTTGCGCGTGCAGTCCGTGCTTCACAATCTGACTATGGTCCACTCTGACACAGTCGTATTACAAAATATTCCACACTATTTTCTTCGTTATTTTATCAGAATAAGTGTGTACTCACTGATATTCGATACTTGTGACGTCTTTGTTGTTGTTTATAACTTGGTTATATCAACAGTTATATCACGGGGTGTCAGCTTAATGTTGGAGGAAAGCCTGAAGTTGTGCATGTATTAGACGTTTACCACTTTAATGAAACCCACGAGCACATGTATAGTGCTGACAAACCTAGAAACATATCGGGGTGAAGAGGAACTCGAAGCCACAATCATAGGTTTCTAGGGTGGCCAGGAGACGCAATTCAATCATGAAAGAACTGTGGAGTTTAATTTGGCGGCTAATTGTAAACCCGTGTCATTCCATCTGGACATCAAAGAAGCTATGGTGGCGAATGGGTCCAGGGTGTATAGCATAATAGAATGGGACAGACTATAACAGAACATTAATCCACTCCAGACTATGTACATATTATGTTGAGGTTTACAGAGTTGAATATTTGTTTGATGGAGATTATTTTAAATTTGTTACAATTATTATTCTGCTGAAAATAGCAACTTTCATTTTAATACCTGTACACTTTGTTGGATTGCTTTCAGAGACGCATCTGTAATACAAACATACTGCCGTTTATACTTGACTCTATTGTGAACCGATGTGAAATCAAAACCTGTTACATCAAGAGAGTGTTAGCGAGTACCCTTCCAACTGTCAAGTTAGATTTATTTCTTGAATTTATTGAGATGATAAGCTGCTGCGGATGTTTTGCTTTTTCAGAAGTTTCATTGCCCAATGAGAAAAGATGGAAATTCATGGGTTTTTATGCTATGTTTGAAACAATGGTATGCTTTAGCCAATGCTTTGGATGTGACAATAGCAATTCAGTAAGTTCTTCAACACTTTTCAGTATAGATGTGTGTAGTGTACACGTCCGGGTATAATAAACTAGAAGACAAAAGGGATTGTTTTCTTTTAAAACGAAGAATGCTTTCGAGAAATTCAATGTTTTGAGAACGGGATGATCCCTCGAATTAAAACACCAACTAAACCGCAAGACAGAGAGCAGTGAAGATAATAGGTTTAATCCAACAATAATTCAGAAATAAGTACTTTTACAGTACATATAGAAATATGCTACCCCTGGAATACGATAGGCAAGCGGGTTTCAAGCAGTGAGTCAGTTCCCAGTATTCGGACATGATGGGCGGGTGGGATCAAATATTTCCTCTCCTCTCTTTGTGAAGGGTTCCTTTCATATATGGTTGACAGATGTTCATAAGCGAAAGAGATGGGAAGATTGTTAAATAACAGCAAATTCTTGCACGAAAATTCCTTAAGGTATATTCCGTCCACTTCAGTGACTACTGGTATTTGATAACTAATTGGTTGAGTTAACTTTCTGGATACCTAAATATTTGTAATGTTGTCATTAATCATTTTAAAGTATAGTATAACCATATCTGTAGGGCATCACGTTTAAATGTCATGTCAGTGATATTAGACGTATAGATAACTATACGACGATCGACTTATTTAATCACGTCATGTTGGCTATGTGATTTAATACGAGTCAGCAGTTTATCTTTTATACAATTGGTTGTAATTACCGTTAAGGTCCACCATCATTTCGATATCGGAGCACGAAAGATTATCCGTCTTGGAGAAGAAGTTGCAAAGTCCTACCTGTTCGAATGACCAACTGATGTAAAAAATAGTCCCGTCCGCAGGTGTTGTTATTTAACACTGTTTAATAACGGTGTATTGTAAATAAATAGTTGATCTCTTTACGGGCGAGTAATCAACTATAATATTTCTGTATGGATTTCCTAACATACATCTGTGTGTTACTAATATATTGTGTATTTTGCACCGGGCTTCACCGGCGCTGTTAAAAAGTAAAAATTGAAAAATATACTGGATATGAATATTTCTCCATGTCGATAAAACATTCCGTTAAAATACACCCAAATGTTTCGATGTATTTTGTTTTAGAGAACTGAACAGGAAAAGACGAACGAGTCAAATTAACAACAGTGGCAGGGGCACATATTTTGTACTTTTCACTTTACCTTTTCACTTCGCCTTCGCGATATGTAGGATATGGTTCCCCACATCATCACACTACCACCACCAAATATGTAGTCTTCCTGTATGTAGTTTCGTTCCCGCCTGTATACACGTCTAGCATCTGCACGGCGAAGCACTAAACGTGACTCGTCACTAAACCAAACTTGTCTCCATCGCAGTTGTGGCCATACTCTGTGACCTTGACACCACTGACGTCGCAGTTGACAATGCATGTCCGTCAAAATGACACCTCAAACATGGCGTCTCGCGCGAATACCTTAAGCGCGTAAACGTTTCCTCAATGGCTGGGCTGATATCTAACGCAATAATGGTATTGCCTTAGTTGTTGAGGTGGTCGTGGTGGTTCTTTCACTTAATTGACGTAGCTGTGTGAATCTGACCTGAGCACTAGTAGTGATACGTCACGGTGGTTGACCGGACCTGGGAAGGTTACTTGTTGTCCCGTGTGTATGATAACGGTTCCACAGTCTTGTAATGGTGCTTGGTGCTACGTGGAAATACCTGGCTACAGCTGATGATTCTCCTGTTTGCAATCGGTCGATGGCGTTTTTGCGTTGGGCTTCCGTCAGTCGTGGCATATTTCGCAGTTCACTTGCTGTCAGATTGTGATGGCATGCAGATGAAAACCCATCGTTCGGCATTCTTTCAACATTGATCTGAGTCACCGTGATGTCAATGAAATACTGTTCAAGAGAGTTTAAATCCAAACCAGCAACTCAATGTGTTTTCGGATCTAGGCATCAGCCACTGGGAAAACTACCCAAACAATAAACATTTCAGTCTAGTCAGCCTATCAAGAGACAGACATCCCCCTTTCATCAGCCCCGTCACGAAATCTTATTTGTATTGCTGGAGCCTCGTGGTTTAAACGTACATACGGCGTTTTAGATTGCAAGTAACCTACAGATTATAAACGCTTTCTCTGGCTGTTCACATGAATCAAACATAAGGACATTGTTTCCTCCATTACCAAGACTTGACGTCCTGGTGACAAACGTTGGTTCTAATTCGCCGACGGCATTGATCAATTAAACAAGCAATGATGGGAACAATGTAATGGAATGGGCAAATATAATATAATGCATTTATAAAGCACCCGCCGTTCAACTTCATAGCTAATCAGTGGCGCTACATGGTATTATTACCACTGTCAATTGGGCGCTGGCAGGTTAACAGTCACATTGCCATCTCCCCACACCGTGTACCCATTCACTGCTGGGAGAACAGATGCATAAGTCACTAAGGAGACACCACATGTAACGTGCTTCATTGCAGGACAGGATCAAAGCCCTAGAAACTCTCACGAGTCAAGCTGTAAACACGGAAAGGAGCCGAGCGACATATAGAAGGATGATATATATTAACCGACCTTCGATCTTGGGATAAAACATACCTTCCCAGTATACATTAACGTTTGGCGTGATCTTGTAGTGATAACTCCTATACCGAACTGTTACCCTGCAACATGTTTATACAAGTTGAGCCAAGTGATGATGCTAGGGACAATACCAATCAGAAGTCCAAGTTCACAGCCTCTCTCTTCCAGTATGTTCGCACAGTGCTTTGCTTAGGAGGAATGTTCTGTGGAGAATGTAACAACACAAGAAGGTGGAAGAAGAAGGTTGCCCTACTCATTTTCGTTGTATACCTAGTACATATTCCACTGTATTCTATCGCAATATACGATCGCTTCACGAAATCAGAACACACAACGAGACTCATTGGTTTTCTAGGGATATGCGTAGCTGTGATCTACCTCAGCTTTGTGGGTTTGGTCAAAATGCCAAAAGACCTGATGGAGCTGGAACAGGTGTTCAACCTGTATAAGGAAAAGTACAAGTCGAATTTTGTTACCTCTAACAGACTAAAAAGGCTTAGAATAATGATTTCACTCACGTTGATAAATTGTGTGGTGTTTGGTCCAGTTCAAATGTTCCTTTACAGACACAACAAGGCTATTCTATGTGACGTATATCCTTCGTGTAATCTCCCTGACAACTGGAAATACTTTGGATTCACTTTAAATGCCATTTTTAACTTAACAGGACATATACAATGGCAAGGACACTTTCTCGTGTGTGTGATTTTCACCACCTTTCTGCTACAGGAATTCCAGGCTCTTGCTAAGAAGTTCAAGGATTTATCCATGTCCAGTGTCGAGAATATAGAAAAGGAATTCGAAGTTCTTGTTGAGCATCACGAATGCTTAGTGGATGTGTTGAATGAGACGAATGACTGTATGTGTCACTACAGCTTTGTTATAATATTTTTGGCTCTTCCCATAAACTGTCTGTTTCTGTATTATGCCATGTCTAAACCGTTGACAGAACCCGACCTGATTTTCTTGTGTTGTACAGTAACGATGGAACTTACATTTGTCGGCGTTAAAGTGTTCCTTGAAGCGTTAGTCAGTTCAAAGGTAATGTTAAGCAACTCACAAATGTACTAAAAACAAAAGAATCTGTTCATGTTTTAATTGTCATACACGCATTAGGCTCCCACATTAGGCTGACACGCCGCGATATCACTGGAATACTATTAAAAGCAGCGTTAACCCAACTTACTCACTCACTCTTTTGTTTTTGAGATGTAGAGTGAACTGGTGTTTCTTTTGATGATGGAAGACAAAGATATGTTTAAAGATTTGTTATGGATCTTAAGAGTACATTTAATATATCTTCGTACTATTATCATTACAATTTATAGACACACAGCAGTCAAAAGGACGAAAAGAAAAATTACTGTGTATTACGTTTGTGACAGTTATTTTTGGCCCATAGTATATATGTATTGTATTGTAATATATGTACCATTTAATATTTCACTATGTACGAAACCCTTTAAGATTCGGGTTAGAATTGGTATTCAGCCACCCATGGTTGTCGTAAGAGGCGACTGAAGGATCGGGTGGTGAGGCTCGTGGTTACGTTGATCCAAATAGCGTAGATCGATGCTAGTAGTGTCAATCACTGGATTGTCTGGTCCAAACTCGATTATTTAGAGACCACCTTCGTATAGCTAGAGGGGATGACAATTCGGACAACCGCCGTTCCTTTAAACCAGTATGACACAACACTGATGACACAAGATCTATGTATTTCTCTTACTGATTTACTTTTTTCCAGGCTCATGATCCCCTGAGATATATATGGAAAGTGAGGAAAGGGATTATTTCTGAAAGAGGACGACAAACTGTAAGCATTTATTTAATTTCGTTGCAAACACACATGTATGTTTTCAATAACTGGGTACACATTTCATCCAAGCCACTGTTGCGTCGCTTTGCCGAACCAGGATCCACTAGTCTAAGAATCACTCCGATTGTGTCCTTTGGGTTTCACAAATGTGAGGGCGTCATGTCATGTATTATATCCAATGTATTAGACCGCCTCAGTGGTCCAGTGGTAGAGCGTCCGCCCGGAGAGCAGAAGGTCCGGGGTTCGATCCCCGCCCCGCCATTCCAAAAGACGTTAAAATAATGGTACTTATAGTATAGTATAGTATATTGTATAGTATAATTTAAGTATATCGCAACGTTCATTACAAGAACATATCGGGTTCTCTGATGTAAGATGTTTTGACAATATTCAGTGACTAATACCTGAATGTCTACACTCGATCACTTTGTTCTCCATGCACAGCTTGATCTGTTCGTGACCAGACTTACTGGGGAAACTATCAGCTACAACGTCTACGGCCTCCTCTCCATCACTATGCCAACACTACTTGGGGTGAGTTTCGTTCCATCTTATATAACTCTTAAGGGGCACAGAAGGCCTCAACAATGGGCGATTGAGTGTGGGTAGCCATTGGGTAGATTTCCACTGCTGAATATGCACTGGATTACTCCAATGAAAATATACATTTTTGTGTATGTTTGGCCTGTATTTAACACCGCAATATTCCAGTTATATGACGGCGGCCTGTCAATAATCCAGCCTGGGCCAGACACTCCGATGCCTGATAAGCAACGATCAAAGCCGTCGGGTCGGATGACACGTAACGCAATTATTCATATCGCTGAGCCTGACCACCCTTTCCATTTGGTCGCCTCTTACGACCAGCATGGGTTGGTGGGGACCAATTCAAACGATTATTTATAGGCCACCACCATTTAGCTAGAATATTGCTGAGTGGGCGTGAAACAAACAAAACGTGTGTGTTCTAGATTGTAGGGACTCTGGCAACGTATATCATCGTGGTTGTACAGTTCAGACCGACAGACGCTCCTCTGTGTCATCCCACCCTGGTGAGGAACGTCACGGACTGAGGCACACCATCTGTACGATGAGGATTCAGTTGAATTGAGCCACGTGACTTAAGCAAAGGCCTTGTAGCTCACATAACTTGATTATCAATTAAACAAATGTTTGCACATGCGTTATGGTTTATTTGTTGTTTATCTCATTCAAGTATATTCCATCTATATGATGGAGACCTTTTTTCAAGACAAACTTGAAACTCATATGAATCGAGTAATACGCAATATATTTATTCGACCCATGAGCTGGATGGCTATATTGTTTTCTTGGGTACCTGGGGAGACATGAGAGTGGTGGTGTTATTCTTTATGTCTTTGAAACAGTGCGCAGCAAGAGGAGGCGAGTCCAGATGACATAGTCGCTTGTTTCAATCATGTGTGAGTGAGTTTGATGTGACGCTGCTTTTAACAGTATTCCAGTTATATCAACAGTTATATCACGGCGTGTCAGCTTAATGTGGGGGGAAGCCCGATGTGATGCAGAGTTGAATATTTGTTTTTGAAGGTGATTATTTCAATTTTGTTGCAATTGTTATTCTGCTGAAATTACAAAGTTTCATTTTACAAACAGAGATGCGTTTGTCTAAAATATGCAGGTGTGTAAGAATTCCTAATGTTAAAATCGTCACATAGAAACAAATAAATAGTCATCACCAAAGTCATTACGATTACATCAGGTACAGAAACGTTCATCGATATGCATTTTATTCCATCAATTTTAGTCGATGGCGCGCAGTTTAAAATTGCATGAGTTTTGGAATAATTTATAGAATCTTGTTCGATTCCCTCTCTACATGTGAATGCCATTTCTGAATGAACTGGTCCTGTAGGCAGGTATAAATATGATATTCAAACCATTCTAAAGATGGAAAGGTTTATCAGCACAGATATAAGTAGTGTTGCAAATTAGGTCACAAATGTTGTTAATAAAGCACATCCATTTATTTGTAGTGTTGTATAAGTGTTTACGTTATGAATTATAAGCAACCATTGATCCATGTATATAAAGGTATATTCAAGGTGGTACGTTCTTAAATGTTGAGAAATTGTCTTTCAAATAAAGTATGGAGATAAGTTGACAACAAATTGACAAATTATAAAATCTGCTTCTTGCACATAGTGCACAGATTCCATACCCTTTTCACAGTGTGTCGTTTTGGTTTTCACAAAGTTACATGTTTTACAAAATGCAATTCCATGGTATGGGCAGTCAAGGTAGGATACTTATCACGGCTAATCTTCTTGAAGTGGTCGTTGAAGTACCCCACTGGAGGTATTTATAATTTGCTCCCAGTTTGAGCTTCTCTTTGTATTTCCAGAAAGCTGATTTGGAGTCTTTTTGGTGTTCACGACGTTACATGTTTTACAAAAAGCAAATCCAAGGTATGGCTTTTAAAGTTAGGTTCCTTATCATGGTGAATCTTCTTGAAGTGGTCGTATAAGTCCCCCATTGTAATTTGCTCCCAGTTTCAGCTGCTCTCAGTATTTCCAGAAAGATTTACGACTGTTTGCTTGACCTATCCTGTGACTATCTCGTTACAGGTATTCCTAGATTAATTTCATTTAGTGCTTCTCACTAAATGGGTTTATTGAAACCATAATGCACCTCTTTGTTTACCCCCGTTTCATCATTTCCTCTTCCAGTCTCCGCCACATATGTCATAATTCCACTTCCTATGACGTCATCAAACTTTCTCTTGCGTCATCACCATCGTCCGTTAGTTCTGTCAAAATTTTCTGTACCCAGTTTTTGGACAGCAATTCTCAACTTTTGGCTCCCACCCACCCTCCCCCTAGCTTCATACATTCATATTATCTCTAATCAATCTTGTGTACATATATGGCACAGGGCAAACTATGTATATTTGCTTATTTATTCAATAAATGTTACAGGTGGGCGTGGTTCTTGTGGGCTACAATTGTAACTATGTACTTAATCACCAAGTAATCATCAAAATTAACAGGTCCCTGCTCATCAGCAGGAATCTGTTCAGTCCCTCTGCTTCTCAGCGGATGGGAACCTTTAGACTTAACTTAATTCATGTCTGCTTTTCAGCAGAAACTGGCATTTTGCTGCTGGCATAGTTGCCCATTGCTGCTGCTGCTACTGCTTGGTGCTTGCTGGTAACTCAAGTTGCCAAATATAAGTCATCATTATAATAGCTTAGGGCAGCCCACAAGTTCTGCCACACCTATGACCTTGAACCCAACATTTGCCTTTCTTATTTCTCTTGCCTTGTCAACTTTGACAAGACGGGTTACTTTGCATGGGGTGTTTCAATAATTAGCTGATTATGTTCACCAAGTTCGCAGATTATATCATCAGGTACGTCACATTATTCATCATAGTCATTCAAGGAAATGTGGTCTGATTTATCTTTAGTTCTAGCGTTAAGGTCTCCAATCAATATGACACTATTATCCATTTAATAGCTGATATCATCATTATTTTCAATAATCAAACGTATCAGAAGTAGAGTGATCCTTCGGGGGTTGAGGTTACATAGTCCCAAAAGTCAGATAACATAATTTGATTTAAGAGTTTGATTTAAGAGTTTGATCCATAGTGTACATGTATAGTCATTATTTGGTATTTCATATATCAATACATTCTGTTAAATACCGTTTAATGGCTCCTGATCGCTGAAATGATTATCTTCTTTCAATACCGGTACACTTTGTTGGATTGCTTTCAGGGACGTGAAAACTTTGGGGGTGCATCTGTTGAACTGCCGTTCTTAATTGGCTCTATTGTGAGAGTGTTAGCAAGTACCCTTCCAACTGTCAAGTTAGATTTATTACTTGAATTTATTGAGATGATACAGCTGCTGCTGATGTTTTGCTTTTTCAGAAATTTCATTGCCCAATAAGAAAAGACTGAAATTCATGGGGTTTTATGTTATGTTTGAAAAAATGGTATGCTTCAGCTAATGCTTTGGATGTGACAATAGTAGTTCAGTGAGTTCTTCAACACTTTTCATTACAGAGGTGAGTAATGTACACATCAGGATATAATAAACTAGAAGACAATTGAAATGTTTCTTTTAGAACGAAGAATGGTTTAGAGAAATTCAATGGTTGTGAGAACGAGAAGCTACCATGATTGAAAACACAAGCTAAACTGCAAGAGAGAGAGTATTGTAGGTAATAGGTTTAATCCAACAATAATTCAGACATAAGTGCTTTTACGATACATACAAAATATTCTAACTGTGGAATACGACAACGAGGAGGGTTTCCCTCAACGGTGGGTCAGTTTCCTGAATTCGGACATGGTGGTCGGTTGAGGTCAAATGTTCCCTGTTCTCTCTTTGTCGTGGGTTCCTTTAATATTTGGTGGACAGACGTTTATAAGCGAGCGAGGGAGATGGGAAGATTTTTAATTCACAGACACTTCTTGCACGAAAATTCCGACAGGTATCCTCCGTCCACTTCAGTGACTACTTGTATTTGATAACTTATTGGTTGACTTAACATTCTGGTAGCTTCAAATGTGTAATGTTGGCATTTTAAAGTAAAGTGTAATCATATTTGTAGGACATCACGTTTAAACTGTCATGTAAATCATGTGAGACGTATCGATTACTAAACGAGTCCTCGTTAGATGCCGTTTTGATTACAATGGGTGTATTTCAAAATGTATCTAAGGAGCGAAAGCGAGTTACATACGTTTTGAAATACACGAGTTTATTTATTTATTGCTCACTTAAACTTGGCATTATATCTAAATACAATATTTGCAGTCTCCCAAGGTGCAGCCTGCAATAAAGTGCGAAGCCTTCTCCAAGATTTATTGTAAGAGGTCATAAAATGCTGAATGTTAATTTTTGTTTCTATTAACCTTTATATACACAAACATCGCTGAGTTGGAAACAGTTGCATTCAACGGGAGATGCAACTATAAACTCGGTTCATGAAGGTGATCCGTGGGTGGAGCCCGCGAGACGACTTATTCAGTCACGTCATGTTGGCTATGAGATTCGTACGATTCAGCAGATGGTTTATATGTTATAAAACTGGTTGTAATTACCGTTAATACCGTTTCGATATCGGAGCACTAAAGATTCACGATACAAGATTGCATCGGTTGACATGAGGACTTGTCTACGACTGTCCACTTGGTACAAGGGGACGGACACTACTCTCATGTCCAACACAAAGATCGTAAGTGGACGCGGCGAGGACGATTGTGATGATCTTTCGACTTCGTTGTTTTGTTTATCAGTGATTCTTTGAACCTTGATAATGTCACGATGCTTGCACTTCTACTATGGACAGTAAGAGTCACCTCAAATGTATTTGTCCTGCGATAGGCAACTGCTGAAACTCAGGGACCTGACAAATTCCAGTACAATATGTCAATAATACAAATGTTAGATGCGTGCGTAGTGTGTCTATTGATCTCTGATGTTTTGTGAAAAATAATAGTGTCAATAGGGAGCAGATTATCCGTCTTGGTGTAGAGTAGAAGTTGCTAAGTACAGTTGCAAAGTGCTACCGTTCGAATGACCAACTGATGTAAAATATAGTCCCGTCTGCAGGTGTATGTTAATAAATGGTTGATCTTTTCACGGGGGGAATAATAAACTTTAATATTCCTCTATGTATGTATTAACTTACATCTAGGAGTCACTAAAGTATGGTGTATTTTGCACCGGCGCTGTTAAAGTAAAAACTGAAGAATATATTGGACATGAATATTCCCCCATGACCAAAACCATTCCGTTTAGATACACCCAAATGTTTCGATATATCTTGTTTCAGAGAACTGAACAGGAAAAGAGTGGCAGGGACACATATGTTGTACTTTTCACTTTATCTTTTCACTTCGCCTTCGCTTCCCAACGACTTGAACGACTTCACATATGTTATAAACATACTGACGTGTACAGGGGTACGATGACACGCAACTAACCGAGCCTGACCGCCTGATCCATATTGTTGCCTCCTTCGATAAGCATTGGCCGGAAAGGCACTTAAATCATGACGTTGTAGTCTGTGTGATTCTGG